CTGAGCCAACACGCTGATACATACCTAATCCGGGTATGAAGTGCTTCCTGAACGTTTTCTGCATCAGACCAATCCTGCGACAAATCATCCGCCCGCAGCGTGCGTCGCGAACGGGTTTCAGCCACGAGCCGATCACCCCGCCGGCGTTGGTAGTAATCCCCACAGCCCGGTGAAACACAACTTTACTCTTAACGCACCTCAGCCAAGCTTAGCCTAGCAGCTACTCTGTAGCCACTGGCACCGCTCCCCGCGCTGAACCAAGCCTTGCGCATGCCCACTCGCGACGCCTTGGTCCAGCCAAGCGACTGGCTGCATTATGGGCGAGTGCGCGACGCTCGCTCGGCACCTAGGGAAAGTGCTTCGGTAAGCTGAAAGCCCGGTCACAGTGGTGTATCTTGTCGTGTAGGTCTTTTTGTGTGAAGACAGCTTGGTGTTTTACCGGACTATGGGGTTTCCGGCTGAGGGGCTTGGACGTTGGTGACATATCGCATATAAAGAGGGTTGGTGAAGCACTCGTTGAAGGGACAATGTGAGTAGCGCCGACTTTTTTGCAGCTTGCACTCGATGGCGAAGCTCTGGCCATTCTCGACTCTCGAAAAGGAACCTCTGTTTCGCCGCTTTTTCACTAACACGTGGGGAACCTCTGTCCCATGCTCTTTTCAGAAGATGCGCCGGACCCATATGTTCTAACTGCTGAACCTTCTGCTGGCTTGCGATCAAGACTTTCGCTTCTGCCATGTCAGAAAGCTTGGTTGAGTAGGTGCTTGGCGCTGGACTTGGAACTGACAAGACTTTAAGATTTGAAGGACAGCACAGAGTCAAGGGTCACTTTGGACATGGCATGGATTTAGAAAGGTGGTTCAGAGAAGTCTTGGACATTGGTTTTGATTCATTAATTCGTGCTATCTATGGACACGGAAGAACATAGATACATAACAAGAGTGTAAACTATGAAGGATAGCGTGACTGGTGATGCTGGGCAACGGAATAACATGACATTATGCACTAACAAAAATGAACACGTAAAGAGTGAATGGCTGCCCCGATATGAAATACTGTGGATGCATTTCGTCTCTCAAATAATAGACAGACGCCGTGTACTCGTACAAACGATCGTGACCTCGTGCGCAGAATGCTGCGAAACGGGTCTCTAAAGATAAAGGTTCGGGGAGGGGGTCAGGAAGGGGATTGCGCTGGAGAGACGCAAAGAAGGTGCGGTGCGACGTGTCGAAAAAGGCCGCAGAATACTCCAAACGCGTTTAAGCGAAGGCTCCGACAATGGACATACCAGCTGCGCCCAAGAGAACGAAGATGAAAGCCTTGGTCTTGGTGCTGCCAGTCATGGTGTGCTGTGCCTCCTCGGAAAGGAAATCCTCGGCCAACAGATCGACAAGCGCGGCGTAGATTAGAAGACCAGAGGAAATGGCGTTGAACACGCCCACAATGATCAAACCGAAAGCACTGTTGGGATCGTAAGAGCCACGAGTGAAAAGTCCAATAGCCTGGCCGATGGGAGCAGTGCTGCCGAAAGCAACGACGAGAATCCAGGGCCTCCAGCTGGTCTTGGGGTAAGGAACATCGGCGATACGCGTTCCCAGACCGAGACCCTCGAACATCTGATGGAAGACGATGGCAATGAGCAGGATGATGAAACCCTCGGCGGTAATGGAGATGGTCATGCCGACGAAGACCGAGTGGAAGAGGATACCACCTTCAATAAGTGTGATCTGCATGGACATCTTCTTGAGCACAAGAGGGTCGACAGCCGCCTCAACATCATCGTCGAAGTAAGAGTTGGCCGCAGCCGGGGATTGTTCTCGCTGTTGTTGGTGCTGGTGGTTAGGAAGGGCGGGGATGGCGCGGTTGATGGTAGCGATCATCTCGTCACGCTGGCGAACGTATTGCTCGTAGAAGACGATGAACCATGCGGGCATTTCCGACTTGGCATCGAGTTCGTCGCTGCCGCCCTTGGGGAATGGGAAGCCGTCGACAGGGTATGTTGACTCCTCAGTCCATCCTCGCTTCTCGTTCATGGCCATGGTCTTTTGTGAGTCGTAGCTCTCGACGCGACGAATGGGGTTGTTGAAAGCGGCCTGAATGCCAGCACCTGAGCTCTGGGCACCGTTGAAAGCCTCGCCGGTAGCACCACCGTGGCTGTGACCGCCAGTCTTTGCGTGAAGCCACATCTCAATAACGAAGAGACAGAAGAGCGAGCCCATCATGATGACACCGGGAAGAGCGGGGTAGTCATCGGTAAAGAGATCGGGAAGGCAGGGGTCGTTGAGTGAGGCGAAGGCAGTGGGGAGAAGCTGGTCATGATTAGCTCAAATCTAGACATACATGGAGAGACTTGTACTTACATGGACAAAGGCAGTGGCAATCAGGACACCAGTACCAAAGTGCTTGCAGAAGAAGAAGACTGGGGGTGGGATCTTCATCCACTTGACTTTCTTTGCCACGACTGGGAAACCAGCACCGAAAATGGAGGCAAAGAAGACGATGAAGACTGCCGCCACGTGCAAAGGGAAGTCGTACTCGGCGCCATCCTTATCACTACCGCAAGCGGGCTTTTCGTTGGCGGCCTCCATAGTGAATTAAAAGAGAGGTTAAAGGGAGTGTGAAGGAATGTTTGGAATAATCCTAAGACTTGCCAGCAGTCTCGTCGCCGGCGACGATGAGAAGTGAAGAAGAAGAAGAGAAAGAAGTAAACACCTTCTCAAAGATACTCAATGTTCAAGATGCAATGAACTGATGTTGAAGTATGGGACAATAGGCTCGGCACCGCAGCCTATGTATGATTTAAGCTCACAATCGCATGAGGAAGCTAACCGTATTCAAGGCGATCACTCACAGATCTGCGAGCTATAGGGTTGACGACGCTAGCGGAGCCTTGATACAGTGGCCTGTGCCTCAGATGCCGCTTCTGATGGTTGAAGCTTCAGCCAGAGAGGGCGGAGGTTCAGACGGTACCAGGGCAAGCATGGCGCAGACAACAGAAGGAAGCAAAGACCATTTGAGGCGTAGGGCTGGAGACAAAATAGGTATTCAATTAACGTACGAAGCTCATTGGAGACACCTGTCATGCCATTACGAGCTTGGCAAGCCCGGGCGATCTTCGAGAGGGGGTGGGACTTGATGCGGCTCAAGTCTCGTTTCCGCCGAGTGGACCATTCGACGAGATTGTGGAGATGCGAAGCATTGAGGGTGAGGCTCGAGTGCAACGACCTGGAGCAGTTGAGGTTCGAGGAGGCTGAGTACACAAATCAGGTGGGCCAATGAGACGTTTCGCCATGGCGTTGACGTGTATGGGCCAAGGCCGGCTAGGACGAAAGCCGACGTCGGGAATTGTGGGAAAAGAACATCACATAACCGGTCACAATTCGGTGAGTTTGAAACCTGCAAAATGTAGAGCAGCAAATGTGAAGTCATAAACGGTTCCCGTTATAGCCCCGCGTACAGGTGATATGATCCTACCGGTGCCGATCGGCGCTAGCGCTAGCCGGTTGCAGGGTAGTGTGATGCTTCCAGCCGGTTCAAGAGAAGATGGTTCTCGCGTTATACCTGCTACATATGGAGCTGGAGGACAGACACTCCGGACTTGTGTGCCTAAGTCCAGAAAGTCCACCACTCTGCTGACTTGGTTTGTTTGGGATATTTGCGAACATGCCTCATTAGCCGTGACCTTGACAAACACAGCACATATGGCGCAGTTTCGTGCCAGCGCCACACTTGCTCCTTTCGAAGCACCAAACTCATACCATGCAAGCATGCAGCCTCATACCTTACAAGGCACAAGGCCACGTGTGGGGCACGCCTCCGCGCATGCAGAATGCCAAGCCTGTTTAAGGTATGAAATTCAGGCCAAGACGGTCGAGCCTCACCTATCCAAGCATGGCTGCAGTGCCTAAGGCGAGGAAGCGAGGTGCTGAAAAAGCTTAGCAAGTTTCAGGCTCCGCGCCCAGCCATCTGCACGCGCACCAAAGACACAGCAGACACACAACCGCGTATTGGTGCAAACAATCTGGCTATTTCGTGATGTCTTCAGGGTTCAGGAAAAAGTTCCGCTGCGGAGACGAGCGGGAGCAACGCCGCTGTGGCGTTTTGTTGTGGTGCTTTATTACATTGCGTGCCCGAAGTGTAGGCATATAGCACCACTCTTCGTAACTCCCTCACACAGCACATCCTAGAGACTGTCCATACGTCCACGTACGCCCATCGGCCACCATGTCATCCGATACCCATGGTATGTATCAGGCATCCGTTTTCGTGCGCTTGTGTCTGACTTGATGCCTTGAAGTCTCACCTGACGGCCCAATCCGGAGCCAAGTTGGTGACCAAACTTTCACACAAGCCAATGCTGGGTCCACGTCAGTGCCAAACCAATCCGCCTCAGGTACGGAGCATGCGCCAGATGCTATTGAAGGGCTGTCCTCTGTCGACAATGCATCCTCCAATGGAGCCAAGGACGATGTAACCATCACTGTCAATACCGACCCTCTGGATCTGCGAAAACACCTAAGGGACGATGTGACACAGAAGCAGCTCAAGGCAGACTACCCACTGGCCAAACCTAGGCACATGAAGAAGTTTTACACCAGGCAAAACGCTCTCATCGATCAGTTTCTCCAGAGCGGTGATGAAGAGCGCTTGGCTGCTCTTGACCAGCTGGAAAATGGTCCGAAAGTGCGATTTGCCGTGAACGCATCTTTCGTCGTCAACTTCTGTCTCTTCGTCATTCAGATGTATGCTGCCATCTCTACAGGCTCGTTGTCGCTGTTCGCCACAGCGGCAGATGCCTTTATGGACCTGGTGTCCTCGGTCGTCATGCTCATCACCTCTCGTATGGCGGCTCGGCCAAGCGTGTACAAGTACCCAGTAGGGCGGACCCGCATTGAAACGATCGGTATCATCATGTTTTGTTGTTTGATGACTACTGTCGCCATCCAATTGATTGTAAGCCACAGCCGCCCTTGTGACTTGTCCTGTCGCTAACGTTTATCAGATCGAATCCGGTAGAGCTCTAGGCGCTGGTGCAAAGGAGCATGAGCAGCTCCACATCATCCCCATTGCATTTGTCGCAACTGCAATCTTTTGCAAGGGATCTTTGTGTATCTACTGCTTCATCTTCCGACGCTACCCTGCCGTCCATGTCTTCTTTATCGATCACCGCAACGACATTGTTGTCAACGCCTTTGGTCTTGCCATGTCCATTGTGGGCAGCCGCGTCGTCTGGTACCTTGACCCTATCGGTGCTATCCTGATTGGTGTCTTGATCCTTACCTCATGGGCTGCCAACGCGTTTGATCATGTCTGGCTACTGGTTGGCAAGTCTGCGCCCCAAGAGTTTATCAGCAAGCTCATTTACCTCGTCGTTACACATGATACCAGGATCCAAAAGGTTGACACCTGCCGCGCATACCACGCTGGACAAAACTACTACGTCGAAGTAGATATTGTGATGGATGAGGGACAGCCGCTCAAGGTCACGCACGATGTTGCTCAGACCCTTCAAAGGAAACTCGAAGGTAGGGTTCACTGTCCTGCTATTATACCTCTTCAATGCTAATACTCTTTAGGCCTTGCTGACGTTGAGCGCGCGTACGTACACGTCGACTATGAGGACGTCCACGACATCTACGAGGAACACAAGCCTCTCTACGAAGTCACCCAATCCAGAACCATCAAGGAGCGCGTCAAGAATCTGCGCTACATCTTCAAGGGGAAGAAACAAGCCGAGGCTTAAGCACCCCTTGAGCTAATAAAGTCACTTACTGGGCCCAAATGACTTGCTGTTGTACATGTACGGTGTCTTGCCCAACACCAATTGTTACTTTCTTGTGTTTCGCTTTGTTAAATCATGCATTTTATACCCCGCCGGCAGCCAACTGTAGCTACATAGTCGGCTGCAGATTGTACACGATCAGGCTGCAACGAAGATTTAATTTCTACTTGTCCCCAATAAATGCTATCGTACTTGACTTCACTATCTTCTTATATTCACGTGCTTGAGTGTGGTCGAGATACTTTTCTGCTCGCCAATGTCGTGCCAAGCAGTCGTCTCCACTCACTGTAAGCTCTTGACGTCTCACCCTTTCTTGGTTTGCAGCCTCAATCACCCCCTCATTTTGCTTGACACCTGTCACGGGAGCGAGCTTTACGTGCCTTGTCCTGGACGTTAAAATCAATGCAAACAGTCGTGGGAAATCGGCGTGGAAGCCCAGTAACCTGGAAATTGCTTCTCTTGGTAGGGGTACGGCACAGGAGATGTCGGTTCACTAAGGAGGTTTCATGGCGTAGGTATTTGTCATGTGGCAAACAACGATGGCGATCTAGGAGAGAAGTACGGGGCGATGGATCTTGTGATGATTTGCTTTTGTTGTTCATATACTTAGATCAGCGGGTGTAACGATGTTTTCGATCTATGTGGGTAGGTAAACGCAGATTTGCGATTTTTTCCAGCATCTATCTGACATTCTAAACACGATTTGCCGTTTGTCCGGTGGGGTATCGTATACCCACTATTGGTGCTAACATCTTCTAGAAGACTTATGTTTTAGACAAAGAAGATACTCTGAGACAAACATGCTTTCACGGATCAAAGACTTACGATGCCCACCCATCAATGTGAACATTCTCAACACTATGTGCAGTGATGTCTCACTGCCTGGGCCTCCAGTGTGTATGCTGTGTGTAGGAAATATTGTGTCAGTAGGTGAGAAATTACCCAACTATACAATAACACGCCAAAATCTTCCCCTCTGCTGGAAGACTCCATCAAAAACCTTACCAATACGGCTTTTTGTAATACTAGATATCCAGCCCTAGAGAAGTAAACTTTCCCTCTAAATCCTAAACAAGATGCTCGGACATCTACGGCACCCACCGAAAGAAAAGGATCCAGCAGCGCAAATGCTCCGGGACCCAGAGAAAGGAGAGGCTTTGTTCCCAGCCACGCCAGTCAAAGAGGAAAACCAATTCTGGAGTCACAGGCCGAGTGTACGTGAGTTGGTTCACAAATACAACGGTAAGGTGAAAGGCAGCCGTTTGAGGTTAGAGGTGGTGGGGGAAAATGGAAAGATTAGAGAGGTGCCGCGACCCGGATGGAGGATCGAGTGGCTCGATGGCCGGTTGCGTTACTACCACGTCATTTCCGAGAACCAAGCGCATTTCTTGAGGTTTGGGTTCCTGTACGATTTTACGATACCTCTCCCAGAGGAACACAGTTTGTCTTTCGCTGAGGAACAGCTGATATTAGAAAGAATACTTGCTTATTGAATTGCAGGCTCCGTTAATAATGAACGTATTTGGTGCTGTAGCGACTTGGCGATGGTTGTTACGTGATCATGCACAAAGATTTGAGAAACTGATTTGAAAAATCGGAACGAGATGTACTTTCGCATTGGAGGTCTGAGGGTCGCCTCTCATATTTGCCTGGATATGTCACGTGCAGTCGCGTGTGGTTAGCGTCGGAAGCGCGTCATAGTTACCAGCCGTCAGCCGTCTTGCATCCCGTCATACCTCACCAGAGCATTGTTGTATACAACGCCATGACCGACATCTGGAGCGGTGACATTGTACTTCCAGATGGCAATATCATCAAGGGTCTCCATACCATTGCCCGACGCCACATAATTGCTAATAAGATGCAGAAGTCGGTCTCGCGTCTCACAATGTCGCATCTTCGCCCGCCCTCCCCACGACCGCTTTACACTTCCTCTGTACAGTTGATACCGCGAAGATCCCGTTATATCTCGCTGCAGGACCCAGCCTAGATGTTTGGACGACAGAGGAAGCTACACAGGCTTGGTTCGAGTCGATACTACTAGCCAAGCCCTCGTTCTCAGACGCGCAAGACCATTCTACGAAGGATTGGTGGCATCTGACACAATCACAGTCGCCAATTGGTGTTCTAGTACAGGTGGAGAATGTTGAGCATAGCAATCAGAAGCCTATTGTAACGGAACTGCTCTTCTATGGCACCATCGCTGCTTCTGCTACTGCTGGTCTGCCGACACCGCCTTCGTCGTCCCCGTTCGTCGACAACGCCCAGGGCAAGCAACTCCCGGAGCTGCGAGTACATGCATTACCGCTTTCGTCCCATCTCCTCCACGAGTCTAGCCATTCCGTTCCCGCTGACGCCGACGCTCAATTCCTCCCTCCACTACTCGAGTCTCATGCTACACTCAAGTCGCCAAAGAAGCAGCGAGACATCTTCGAAGAGGCTACCATTGCCAATAAAAAGGCAAGAGGGAGGGGCGGAAGAGCAGTATCGGCTGCTGCTGCTCGCGGAAACGAGTCTCAGCAACCCTACAACCACCGCAAATCGTCGCTCTCCATTGACTTCAAGACTGCGCCGCATCCAGATTCAGGACCGCCATCCGCACATGGCACTCTTTCTCGGTCCACCTCGAGGCCACTGTCCCGATCGCCGAGCGTTACCTCTGATGCCAGACCGCTGAGTCGCAAGGGTCTACCAGAACCACAAAACAGGCGTTCAAACCTATCTCAGGTTGCAACTGTGCCTACACAACCTGAGGAGCCAACAACGGAATCTCGTAATAAAGATGCGCTTGTAAAGGTGGTCATGGCAGCGATGCGCATGCATGGCCTGCAGCAGCGAAAGCAGAACAAGTCCCGTCGCGCATCCGTGGCTGCTGGCGACGAGGGGAACCAGCAATTAGATGAGCAAAATGCGGCAGAAGAAGCTGCCAAAGATGAAGAATACAAGCTGATCTATCATCAGACCTACAAAGGTGCAACGTTGGCAATGGTAAGCTATACTACTCATGATGTGAACAATTATTGACTCCCTGCAGAGGAAGCACATGTCGGAGAAACCACTGCATGTCCAGCCGGATCGAATGCGCGACGTAGTCGAGAAGCTACTGGCTATATTCTTGTCTGATCCACTTGCAGAGCCGTTACCTTCCGAAGTACCCGTGGACCCAGTTGCGACACCGGGAAGTAAATCAAGACTGGGTCTTCCTGGGTCTACACATAGTCACGCCAGTCCTTTTGATTTGCCCAGCATATCACGACGGCCGGGAATGATGAGAGCGGTCACTGATAGTTACGCCTACACCGGATCGCCTGTGAGTAAGAAGAGGCCCAATCGTGAGCCAGGACCCACGTGAGGCAGTGGACTTCCAGCGGATTCTACACGCGACTGTGGGCTCATTACCATCAGCATGATGATGCATCAATCTCTCATCACTATCAATACGATGTGTTGTACTCGGCGCCACCCCTGACGCCAGCATAGTTTCCCTTTTGGGCACTAGCGCCAAGGCTTGTCACGCTTCGTAAGCGTTATACGAAGATTGTCAACCACTACTGCATACATGGCAGTGGTACCTTACTTGACATGGCGCCGCCGTACCCGTGCATCCGTCATGATCGACGTAACCCCATAAAGATACTTTGGGGGAGGCGCATGCTAGTCCACTTCACTGCATGCAACCTGGCACTCAGTGGTCATGGCTACGTACGACTAGGCGATGCAAGGCTGGCAAGCTCGTGTTCTATTTTGGAACGGAGGCCTAACTATTTGTCTCTAACACTGAATCGTCGAGCGGCGAGTACGAGAAGCAAAGTGTATAAAGGGTAGCTGTCGGACAGTTGAGAAAGCCACTCACCAGCTTCCAACACAACTTTAGCAACGCAACCTAATACACTTTCAACACCCCATCCATCAACCCGTTAAACCATCAAGATGCTTTCCAAGATCTCCATCGCTCTCCTCGCCGCCAGCGCCTCAGCCGCCGTCCTTCCCCGCGACGCAACCTGGGACTGGACAGTTGACAACTTCTCCAGCGTCTGCACTGCCGCAACCTGCTACTACTCCCTCAACGTTTCCGCACCTGCCGGCCCGAATGGCGAGCCGTCCTTTGACGCCAAGTTCTGCTCCGGAACCAGCGTCCAGGACTACAAGTCTTGCGGCCAGGTCGGCTTAGACCTGCCCGGTGATGTTCAAACCAAGGAGATCAACCTCGGAAGGGATGTTGGTGCTACTGTCCTTGTGCAGTACACATACACGCAGTGAGTAATTGTTCGTGCGAGGTATGAGAAGAGTGTGTGACTAACAGGACGTAGGGGTGATGTGAGGTATACCTACACTGGTAACAGGACTGTTGAGCACACCGGGTTGGGTGCTGGTGCCATATTCACCATTACTCCCTCTGAGGTTTCTGCTGTCGCCTAAGCTATAGGGCGAGTTGGAATCCTGAGATCCCGGATCGGTAGATAGACAAGCTTATTCATCTCGCAGTGGTGATGAGGGAGCTTTCGGAAAGCCAAACAAATAATAGAATGTTCTCTTTAATACTCATCTTGCCAGCTCTCGTTGTTTTTGATGTCCTCCGGATGGATCCACACATTCCGTTGTGTTTCTTCGCTCTTAGTCTTTTTCTTCAAAATATGGAGCCATGAAATCTATGACGCTCCATTTCATTTCAAAGAACCGTGGTATACTGACATGGGATAGGAGAGGCAGCAGGCGCAATATGCATTCCAAAACGTCGCTTGCACTATACCCATGAGCCTTACTACAAATTTTCCAAATTGTTGAGAATATTCCGGTCACCTGTCACGAGGACGCTAAGTCACATGACCCACACCGCTCTATATTAGCCGAGCTTTGTATAGTTAGCAATTGACACACTTACATGCCATGACTGAGAGAGTCATTCTTTCTCAAAAGGTTATGAGCCCGGCTTACGCGCTTGCGTGTGCATTGTGAGTGTCCGGAGTGTCGTTTCTTCGATATGGGCAGCAAGCTGGTATATGCGTGTCTACGCCAGAACAACCCAGGAGGTCGTCGCCTTCTATATTCTAAGACACTGGGTCGTCGCCCTGGCTGCCGCGAAGGGTATTAAGTCCTGAAGACACTGGGCCGTCGCCCTGGCTACCGCGAAGGGTATTAAGTCCGAAGAAAAATGGACTATCGTCCGGAGAAGCTGGGAGCGTCTCGAAGATACCTTGGGCGAGTTATACCCAATTCCGACGCGCGAGTCGAAGAGAGCAATGGTTGCTCTATCCCTTTTCAACCAACCTTTTGACAACGATTCGAATACCTACCTACCGACGGTAACCATCGATTCTTCCGAAAACAACTCGAATTGCCTGCCTATCGATAGTAACCTTTCGAGACCTTCTTTTTAAACTAGTAGCTACAGTTCGACAGCTACTTTCAATTCCTTAAACTCGAAAACCTACCGTTTGACGGTGCTCGAAGTTTTTTTACTCTCTCGAACGCTACCCACCTACCCCCACCCGATTTCTCGATCGATTTTTATCTTCTTTCCAAAGGATTTCGTTAAATAAACGCAAAGAAGCAAAGGCTTATATAACGATGGGGGAGAATAAGGGTGTTAGGGTCTGGAGCCCTGAATAGGACACAGACAAGGAGGCAGGAGCGGAGGAACGGAGCGGGGACAACAAGAGAGGAGAGCGTACATAGCTAGAGTACTGGGAGTACTAAGCTAGGGGAGCGCTAGGATAGAGGAGAGCGTACACAGCTAGAGTACTGGGAGTACCAAGCTGGGGGAGCGCTGGGACAGAGGAGAGCGTACACAGCTAGAGTACTGGGAGTACCAAGCTGAGGGAGCGCTGACTCTCACGTAGGAGTCGAGGGAGAGTCGGTATGTTGGTGATATCGATTCTACCTTGATTTTCAAACGCGAAAATTCTCTCGACCTTCTTTCTCGACCTTCTTTCTCGACCTTCTTTCTCGACCTTCTTTCTCGACCTTCTCTCTCGACCTTCTTTCTCGACCTTCTTTCCTCAACTCTTCACTCGGCCGATACCTCACTTTACTTGAGGGACTCGCAACGTAACGGCCACTATAGGGTGACAGGGAGGTTTCATTCTTGTTGACAAGGCACTTCTGGGGGAGTGTTGGAAAGTGCATGCAAGGCGTTCAGTGGAAGCATATAAAGGGAGAAGAAGCTTCGACTGCAAGACCTATACAAAGTAGTGGGTACAGCTGATCGGCTTATGGGGGAGTGTTGAGAATATTCCGGTCACCTGTCACGAGGACGCTAAGTCACATGACCCACACCGCTCTATATTAGCCGAGCTTTGTATAGTTAGCAATTGACACACTTACATGCCATGACTGAGAGAGTCATTCTTTCTCAACACAAATCAAAATTCCCACTCGGAACACATGTCTTGGCTGTCCGGCTATGGCGCTAAGCCACAGCCCGCGAGATATAAAATCCCTGCTTCTCTCTGCCTTCTTCTTCTTCTTCTTCTTCTTCTTCTTCTTCTTTCCTTCACACCCTAAATCCTACTTCCCAGAAATTTTTAAATTCTCACGACCTTCCTCTCTATGTCTTCACTCTCTGGACACCAAAAAAGTTATTGTTGTCGCAGATGTGGGCTCCTGTCCTTTCTTTTGTTTTCCAAAAATCATGTTATTTGTCGAAACAATAAAACGCAAAGAAAGCCATGTTATGTCTCCATGCTCTAGACATAGAAAGAGGCGCTAATAGGATGGATGTCCGTCTGTGTCCTGCTCTGTCCTGGTGATCTAGCCATGACGGGTATAAAACTTAGGGATTACCTCTCTTCTCTTCTTCTTTTTTATTCCATGCATTCTATTTCTAAAAACTCAAAATCTAGTAAGCTGGACATTGATGTTCTGTTTCTTCTGGACACCAAAGCTCTGTATCACCCAACATTGTCGGTTGGCTAGCTCTTTTTCGCCCACTCTTTCAAACACGACTTGCTATAAAAGCCTGCGGACTACTTCCCTCTCTTTTCATCTTTTCTTCTAAAAATGAACTCTGTTTGCTCAAATCTAAAGACGAAGAACAAGGACCTATGTTCTGTTTCTTTGTACACCAAAAAGGGCATATCATGGACAAATGTCCGTTGGCTGTCGCGTCTTCTCCTGCTCCCTTGAATAAGGCATGCTATAAAATGTTACGGAGCACCTCTCTCTCTTACTCTTTTCTTCCGCAAAACAATCTTTACTTTCAAAAATCTAAAAGAAAAAAACATTTACATGATCTAGATGTTTCCCCGCTGTACTGTAAACTAACTAAATACTGTCATATGTCCATGTGTGGTCTTCTCCAGTAACTTTACACACCCTAAGTACAAATGTCGCTTCTAACTTGCTTTCTTACTTCTCCCTCTCTCTTTACTACTTTCTACCTTCTAATACTTCTCAAAAAGATAAGCGCTACACCAAATGAGTTCCTGGGCTATTTTTAAAAAGAAAGGACTGTTGGGAATCTGATGAAGGTGGAGAAACGTGCGTCAACTTGTTGTATTGGAGCTACGGGAGAAGGGAGAATATCTATGGTGCGCGCACGGAGCAGCTGACTAATCAGTGTCTGGCCAATCAGAGCACGGGAAGCCTGATTCACCGTGAATACTAGTGAAGGCTCTCACCGCGTCTCGACAGAATCGAACCTGCGGTAGATAAGGCAGCTGGTTGCTGCATGCACGAGCTTGGATTACACGGCTGACTAAGCCGTATGGTCCGAGCTCTAGCTGCTGCCTTACTGCCGATCTCCCTCCACCTCCATAGAAGAACAAGAACAATCATAATCATTTTCCAACTCGTTGCAACGAAGGTGATTCCGATACCTTAGCCGTATCAACAAGGACAGTGTAAGCAATGTGCTCTCTGAGTATTCTCTACCTTTTACTCTCAAATTTGGACGTACTTTACTTATTATTAAAAACGGAGTACATACAAGGCATGTCTCTCTTCTCGAGTTGCTAAAAATGAACCACACCGAGTTGATGACCGTTCTCTTTCTTCCTGCCCTTTCTGTGGGTACTGAAGATATCTGATACTACCTATATCTTCTCTCCTTCTCTCTTTCCGACTCTTCTAAGGCCTCTACCTTGGATTAAAAAGAACAGAGGAGCGACGAATGTCTTTCCTCTCCTTTGTCGCCCTTTCTGTGGGTACTAAAATGATACTGCGACTTCTCCCCGTATATCTTCTCTCTCTCTCTTTCCGACTTCTCTAAGGCCAATATTTTACACTAAAAAGTTCATGGCAGAGAATCATGTCTGTCTTTTCTCTCGACTTGCTAAAAACGAGACCGTGGATTGGGATATCTTTTCTCTCTTTCCCCGCCCTTTTCTATAGGCACTGAAAACATTGAATACATACAAATATCTTCTCTCTTCTTTCCGATTTCTCCAAGTCCTCTATCTTATACTAAAAAGATCATGGCAGAGAGCTATGTCTGTCTTTTCTCTCGGCTTGCTCAAAAACGTCATTGTCAACTTAAATGTCTTCCCTCTCTTTTCCCGCCTTTTTTAGATACTGAAACAACAATGCACTTGTAAAATGTCTGCTCTCTTCTCGCAGTTTCCCAAGGCCCTACTCTACGCTTAAAAATGACCCAGCGAGATGCGATGCTTTTCTTCTAAAGTTAGTAAAAAGAGCTATGCTAAATACCTTGTGACTTTTTAAAAGCAAGGAAAACAGAATTGATGTCTTTTCTGCTGTTGTCCTGCGTGTAAGAAAAAAACGTATTCTTTACTATAATTCAACCGAGCGGAAAAGCCAGGGAAATATTCAAAAGTACAGAGGTTGAGAACACATGCTGGGACGGACTGCAGGGCCGCATAGCTATGATTTTACAAAAGAACATGACGTCCAGCAGTGCTGTCTGTGCTGACGTTTCTACTGCGGAAAAGGCGATTTTGGGGGGGCAAAAAGCGGTATGGCGCTGTTCTCATAGTACCTAAAATGCTGGTTACCCAACTCCATGGCTGGTTCCTTGACTTCCCAAACTGAAGAACCATCAATTACCTGATTTTGATGAGAGCTCTACCGGCCTTTTTCACACTTACCTCTGTGGCTGGTGCCGAGTCGATCTTGTAGGCGAAACAGTGATTTAAGGATCTGAGTGATAAAGGTAAACATCACATACGGTGGAGAAAAAGCACATAATTGCAACATCGGGACATCAGTTGTGATTTGAAAAAAAAACGATCACAGGGTATAATTGCGCCGCCGTAGGGGAGGAACGTGAGCTACCAGCTATACTACGCCAGCGTTCTTTAAGAAAAAACAATACACATTAACAATACAGACGCTTTGCATCCAATAACGTCGAGAGACACGTCATCCAGGCCCCCGTTTCCGCAACTACGGTAGCATGTAACCGTCACCCGAAAGTTTGTTGTCCGTGAAGAGATTGAAACTGTCCTCAAAGGCCTGCATTCGGCTCTCTGAGAAAGACGCAGATGTACCTGGTCTGCTCAGCTTGGTAGTGACCTCTTGCCCCAGCCTCAGTGCGGAGACCTTCGAGTCACCGTAAGAGGGGGTGCCGACACACTTGCTCTTGTTGCCCCATTGCGAGTCTGCTGCTGCCTTCCATACAGAAGTGATGTCGGTTGTCATCTCTGGAGTGTAGTAAAGACGGCAGTCGGCTTCTTCGTAGATGAACTGCAGAGCTATGCCAGAGGTGTCGTTCTTGCGGAGTCCATCCCGCACGTTCACGCCACTAGCTGCGCTGCGAGAGAAGACGAGATCATTGCCGTAGTCTGTGGCTAGAATGGAGGTGTTGAGTGACGGCTCGTAATCGAGGGCTTTCTGGGCATTTTGTTGAATGAAGCTGAATGCGTAATTGTTGGTGCCCTTGACACCGCCTATGGCCTGGATGGGCTTCTTGTTGCTGCGGCCGCCCATGGCGATACTCTTGACGCCCACTTGATTCTTCATGAACTCGGCGAAAATGGTGCATGTAGAGGCACAGTAGCCGTCTGTCAATAGAACAATGTTCTCAGGCTTGAACCGCTGTTTCAGGGTGACATTCGCTGGTTGGTTGTATCCGCTAACATCGATACCGATATAAGGGATGTAGGGATCAGTGAGGTTGTACCTGACGAGTGTGGTGTATAGCGCCCCGTTCACCTCCTGGGGTCCAATCTTCTCGTCCCAAGACGAGAAAGGGGTACCATCCACCTTCATGTCGAAATTGTAGTCAAAGTATGAGGACTGAGCTTGGCCAATGGTGTAGTTCTCCGAGATTTCATTCCTAGGAAACTTGGAGGCAAACTGGCTCGTAGCTTGGCCGATGAGATCAAGGGCCTCGTGGGCACGGAAGCGGCTGGCACCATACGGGTCCTGGTCGGGGAATAGCTGCTTGAACATGTCATAGCCCTGAAGCACAGTGCCACCACCGTTGGCCTGAAGGTCAATGATCAACTTAGTCTTGCCATCTGCAGCGGCCTTGGGAAGGAAATTCTGTGTGGTGAGTTTGAAGGCTGTTTCGGTGTCCTCGCCGCCGTTCCCGACAAAGTTGGGAACCGACAACACAGCAACACCCTCGTAACCGGGTGCGTCAATATAATAACCGTTGATGAGATTTTGAGGCCCGGCTTCGATAGGAGTGGGATAGCCAGGGGCAGTGCTACCAATAACAGGAACAGCGGCAGTGGCAGCTTCCTGCGTGCTCGCCTTTGCGGAGGCTTGGCCAGAGGAGCCCCAGTAGATCCACCGCTCAGCCAGCTCTTTTCCGGTAGTTATTCCCCGGAAAGCGATGATTGGACGAGCAAAGTTCTCCATCGTGTAGCTAGTCCCATTGGCAAAGGTTAGAGTTGTTGTGGGTCCGGGATAGACCAAGCGTCCACGACCGCCTCCGCTAAAGGTGCCAGTGGCGGCGCCTGAGGTGCCGAGGCTGACTTGCGGAAGCGAATAGAAGACGTTGTTGTAGAGGGCGTCGCGGTCCTGTAGACTGCCAAACTGACTGAACTCTTCTAGAAACTCGGTAGCATCCTTGCCGTCGATCTCCACAACGGCGGACGGCGTGTAAGTAATATTCTTGAATTGCATACCAAGAACATCAGCGTAGGCAAATACTGCAGGTAGCTGCTCTCCATCGGCAGAGACCGAGACCAGAGGGACAGGGCGACCCCATGTGAAGATACTACCAACCGAGTCGGGGACGAACGTGAAGTGGCCGTCATGGGCAGACAGAATGAGCCTGTACAGAGTGAAACCGAAATCGTACTCGTTCTTAAAGTTACCAGCGTTGATGTCGGCGTCAATCTTGTCGAGGCCACCAAGAATGTCAACAGCGGCCTGAACCTTCTCTTGGTATTCAGCTGGAGGATCCTTCAATACATCGAGTGTGCTCTGCCAGTTGATGTACGGTCGTAGCTGCTTGACTAGTTCTGTTGCTGAGGAAGCATTGAACGGGATCTCGTTGAGGCAATCCCACGCAATTCCAGCAGGGACCTGGAGTGCATAGGGGTGGGAGTCGTCGCCATAAATGGCTTCAGATACCCTGGCACATGGGGCTGATGTGGTGCCATTGGCCTGGCGAGCCTGTTTGTGGATCCGTTGAGTGCGGGTGGGTGCGATGGGCGAAGCGGCAGCGAAAGCAGCGAAGCTCGCAAGAGCGAGCACCGAAGAAGTCTTCATAGGTAAGGTTGGATAGCTTCACAGGCTATTATCGATCGGATGGATGTTTCCCGGAAAGAATGTGCTCTTCAACCGCGGAGGGAGCCGGTTGCTGTAGTGTAGGCGTGTGGGTGTGTGTGGGAGTATTGTTACGATGAGATTGTTGGGTCGACTGCCAATAAAACCAGAGTAGGAAGCGACTGCGGGGGAGGAGGAAGTGGCGAGCCTAGCGTGTTTACGCCCGGAACTGTACAAGTGGAGATGGTGAATCACTTGCAAGGTCACTTAATGCCAGAGCGACGGGGTAATGACTGGAGGACGGGCAACAGGCTGCTTAAGAAGTTTGACAGGCGCCACTCGGAGGTTGAAGTTCTACATGAGTGACGCATCGAGACCCGCTCGTACAAATAAATACTACACACTACCGGGTGTGCCTCGTTTGAGCGAACGCACCAACCCACCGGTCGAGTACAAACGTGCATTCGACGTCGTGACACCAATCACACACAAGACATTCACATGTTTCCTGCATGAGTGCACGGGATCAGCAGGATAATTGTCGATAACGGGTCCTAGGAGCCGTGTGAACCTGGCCTAGGGGCGGAACTGTTTATGCAGCCTAGTACAGTCGAAATGAAATGAATTTTACTAGCCAGGTGCCGGTAGTGGTAGAGTCAAGGAAATTGACCATTGTACAGTGAAGTGAAACTTCACAATGGCGAGCACAAGGTGTGCCATATTGCAGGGTGTTTTGTTAGTTATGGAGCCAGGGGTTCCCAAAGTAGTTGTTGTTGTTTGCGAAGACGTCAAAGCAAGTGGGACTTCCTGGTGGTTGGATGCCGGAATAGGAAGCTTGGTAGCCCGTGCCCGGGATCGACAATGCGCCTTCCTAGCCACTCGCTCCACCTTAATGTGCGACCAACTCATCCTCCGCTAACCTTGGAACAAGAAGCTTGCTATCTTGACGCTTGTCGATACTAATTGTCCCCGGAGACGGGCTTACAAGAGCACCGTTGCCGTGTTACGCCAAACCCCCAGCATTAGGCAACCGACGGCTCTTCACCCGCAGATTGAGAATTGCCTCAAAACACGGCGGATGATTACAATGGTGCTGCGCCCCTCTCTACGATTATTAACCCGGTGCGGCTATTTCTGTCGCCACCGACTCGAGCGGTGCCTTACCGGTCGGCGGTTAGATTTTGCATCTTGTAAAGTGTTCTGGAAGAGATTCCGGGGATTTTGCCACTGATGAGGCCAGAATTCCACTGCATGTGCATGGCGATAGCGTGGGCAAGTATGCACTGCGAAAAAGCCTCCTTGCGTTGACAACTACCTAGGCCAAAAGCACGACTGTCGTTCAGTCTCCGATGTGCGTGGTTCCTGGTTCTAGGGCTGCGAGTTCGGGTGTGGCACGTTTCATGCCGTCCTCTCAGTGTCACTTTTCTGCCTCGCACGAGGTTGGTAGTACACCCACTTCAAGACGTTACGTTCCTCTTTGGCCAACCTTCCAACTGCTGATAATAGAGTACGGCACTATAAGCCTTCGCCAGAGGACCGTCTCTCTAGCTTGGAAAGTGTAATTGTAATTTCCCCGACACTAAACAAGCAATTCAACAACGGCATCCTCATCCGCGACTGTACCCGCAACACTAACCAGGCCGCGTAAAAAGGGTCCACAGAAGCACCCGCCATTGATGCTTGGCAGGCTTGGGCTTGCGAAACACAAACTAGGCGCAGCCACCAACGGGCAGCCTCATCATTACTACACCACAATGTGTGCCTTGCGCTATTCCTTGATCCGGCCAAACACTCGTCTTCTCATCTCCAACCTCTTACGTCGTGTTCCCGCTCCAACGCTGATAGACCTGCGGACGAAAAGTACAATGTAACACGGAAATGCCATGTACCCCAATGTACCCGATGACGGACTCGGCCCATTGCCGGTATCCGGTTTCACTTGACATGTCAACCACGAATTGTCAGGCCCGGCGTACAAGAACAACAAGAACAAGAGATTCCCTTTTTGCAACCCGCTGAAACCCTCAGCCACAATTTGTGACGCCTGTTTAGATTGATCAAGTACACCAATTCATGGGGGATTGGTAGGATTGAAACACCACGCTCATGTCAGCTCACCCACAAGACGACTCAGCGACACCATCGTCATCTCCGACCGAGTAACAAACTTGACATCACGTTACATGCTTCTCACCAAACATGTAGGACGAGAGTGAGAGTCTTCTTTAGCCAATTGTAGAATTTTTACGCTGTCGGCCACACACTGTCAACCGGTACCTTGGCTTAGAGTCGTGCAAGTAATTTGGCAACCACGACAAGGAACAGACACCAAACTGAAGAACTATCAATTACATGATTTTGACGAGAGTTCTATCGAGCTTTTTCGCACTTGCCTCAAGAAACAGACAGATGGGGTCACAGTACAGGTCAGGGATTCTCTTCGATCGCGAATTTGCTGCGCCGATTTTATCATTCGAGGATTTTTGGATGCGGTAGTTTTGGGGGGTGCCTCTGTATGACTATGTATGTAGTTGATCTTACATGAAGTTTTCCACATTTCTCTACTCACATATAGGCCTCTACGATATCGATAGAAAGGATCTATCATAACAATTGCAAAAACTCATTACATTCATTCCAACTGCAGCCTAACGAATAAAACCAACAGTCCAAAAGGTGAACCCAGCAAACTGTGACCGTCCGTACAACCAACGCTAGCTCATCCACCAGCAAGTGCAACACAAACCCCTGACTAACAAAAAAAGATCCACTGAAACAAGCTTGTAACCCATTCTCGTGTAACAAACCCCTTCCCCCCCTTTTTTTTCTTTTCTCACACAGGTACCGACTGGTACAGCACATGTATTTTCAAAACTCACAACCGTAACAGCACAGCAAAATCTTAGAAACGTTACTGACAGGTCCTTTGTATTACACAAGAATATAACAGGTAAACTACTGTTCGCACAACCTAGCCCAGTCCAGTCCAACTCCTTTTGCCAAGGGAAACACACATACACACATATACACTAATGCAATAATGGTGCTCAGATCCTCAACTCCATCTGCTCACTCACACCTACACTCACGCTGACAGCAGCAGCGGTCGCATTGCTGCTATGATGATGATGGTGATGTCCACCGTTGACAAGTGCGTTATACTACAACACACACGTTAGCAAAAGTGTTCCTCTTCACATCGACCCCTCAGAAATAACATACCTTGAACCCAAAATTCAGACACAACGCAACCGCCAACCCCACACAAACCACAAGTGGCCCAGTAATAGCATCAAAGTCTTTTCCACTCCTCTCCCTGATCAACTTCGCCCTGTAAACATACATCCCATATCCCCACGCCAGAGTAAAGGCCGCAATACACGTATACACGACAGCAAGCGCTCTTGCGATGTTATTCGCTTCGCCGGCTGCATTATATAGACCGAGGGATAAAGAGGCGAGCAAGACGCTAACGTGCTGCCACTTTATAAACGTGCGTTGGTTGGCGAGCCAGACCTTGGCTTCTACGCGGACAGGGCCTTGGTCTTTGATCCAGACGCCGGGGTCTCTGATACCAGGGGGAAGTTGGATTTTGCGCTGTTGTTTACGGGCGTATTTTGAGGTGGAGAAGGAGGGGAAGAGGGAGGCAAGACGGCCTTGTTTGGTGGTTTTGCCAAAGGCGGGGACGTCGTCCTCGTCCGAGTCAGCTTCTTCTTCTACGCGGCCGTTGTTGGTGCCGTTGCCGTTATCTTGCTCGCGTTGAGAGAGGTGCGAGCCGATGGTGGGTAGCTGGGGATGGGTAGCGGGCATGGAATGGGCTGCTGCGCTGGCGCTCTTGGGCATCGAACGTGCTGCTGCTGGGGAGCCGACGGGCGAGGCCATGGAGCGACGGTAGCTGGGGCTTGCGCGGGCACCGAAGAGTGAACCCACAGCGAACTCGTCCTCGGCAGCTTTGC